GTACCATTCCACATTACGCTGAGCCTTTTCACGCAAGGCTACACTGTTTGCATGTACGATGCACCATTCGACATAATGCTGAGCCATTTTACCCAAAGCTACACCGTTTGTGCGTACGCTGTGCTACTCCATATTATCCTGAGTCATTTGACGCAAAGCTACACCGTTTGTGTACTGTATTGCATATGAGTGCTAGACTATTTGCAATTTAGCTGGTCCATTTCACAATTTCATGTTCCAACTCGACATGGGCAACTAGACCGTTTATCATTTGGCTAAACTATCTATGTTTAGGGTGTTCTGTTTCAGGAAGGAAACCTAGACTGTCTATAATTTGGCCATGCCTTTCCTTTATTAGCTATACTATCCTGCAGCTGATCCTTACACCATCTTTGTATTTACTGATCTATTTAACATCCTTTTTTTCTTATTGGTGAAGGCCGCCCATAGCGCATGTTTGAAGGCTAGTCACTTCGCGCAGTAAAATTAGCATTTTTTTCTCCTTGCACAGGAAGCCCGCGACAAGATAGAAAATGGTTATCGAATGCCTGCCCCACAAGACACGCCATCGGCAGTTTATCAAATTATGAAGGATTGTTGGAATTTTGACCCTGACGGTAGGCCACGTTTTACGGAAATTCTAAGAAGGCTGAAGCAAATTCAAGAATACATCTGATTTAATTGGAACTTTTTTTATCCCTAACGTTGTGTTACATTTTTATAGTCTTTTAAGCTGATGTACTTTTAAGTTTATAGCCACTGTAATGTAAATGAAAGGTTTCCTTAATTTTTATCATCATTAATTGTTATGAAAACACATTTTTCTTACATTTTAGAGCGAAAGCGAGAAGCGTTACTTTCGGTGCGAAATTTTGGGGGCCAGAATCTGCCTCATTTTTTACAATATTTTCTTTAGTAAAATTTCATCGAAAGTAATTGATTCTAAGTGTTTGACAGAAAAGAGACGTCGTCTTTATTGGAATTGCCTTGTTGCCAAATTCAGTTTACAGTTAAGAGTTTTAATTCTATAAAGATGTTGAAAACGAAAATTATCTTAAAATGAACTAACCGATTTATTCCAAAGAAACCCAGGTTTATGATAAAGTTGGAGAAGATAGAAACAGGCAAACTAACCTTTAATCAAACAACAAACAACCACTTAAGATTTTAACAGATTTGTCACGAATGGGATTTGATCCGTACACTTTAAGATCAGAACCACTTTGGAAATCGATTTGATCCGTACATTTATCAGAACCACTTTAAAAATCGGAAAGGGGTTTTCATCCGAGTGCCGAGAGAAATTAGGAATTGCTTTGGATTTGCATCAATACGCTCTGTGATTGTTTTGGAAGACCATAGGCCGTTCTTAACCCTTTGACACACAGAGTGACAAGCCTCTAATTTTTCCATACAATATCTCTCCCGAATCACAAATTTAGGCCACTAGAGAAGAACTGACCACAAACTTGAGCTCTTGATTGTTAAACAAATTCTCCTTTTCAGCGCCATAGGAAATGTCCAGGTAGGTACTTGGTGAAATCCTTCATACATGCTTCAATACAGAAGAACATATGGGAATACGTGATCATTTACATTCATTAACATACATTAAGGATTACACCAAGTACTTAACAATGTCCAAAGAACAGTTTTGGTGTAAAGCGTTGACTCAATCACATGCAAAACTTGAGGAAGTTTACTTGTTTCTACTGTAAGTTATTCCTGCCTCTTTGTGATTTTACTCTTTCTTCTGATCGGTTTGTTATTTGTTCGGTTTTGCTGTGGTGGCAAAAGTCGAAATTTTAAGGTGGAGGTACATCTCAGCAAGCTTTGCTTTTTTAATTCAAAGAGTAAACGCGTTCGAATTACAGCTGTATGTACGATTGTGTTTTATATAAGTTCTTATGAAATTAGTACATGATCAAGTCTTGCCATTAAATGGCGAGAAGTAAGAATTACTATATATATATATATATATATATATATATATATACATACATACATACT